TGGCCTCTCACATATTTGTATATTCTAAGGAGTTCACAGAGCCCAAAATCATATAAATCTTGGTATATCAACACTGCATACAAATTATTGGCATCATTTCATACAATTTATTAACAAGGTAACATTTAATGAAAATGGCTAACACTTTATATACAAATTATCCACTCCATCGATAGATTTAACTATAGAGTGATGTGCTTCATTGAATTTTTGCCTCAATCGAAAGGTAGCCCATGGCCTATGAGGCATGAAAACTTTGATGCCTTGCTCGTGTTGCTCATAGAACAATGTTGGAACATGTTTGTAATGAACTTGATTAGAACGGTGATTGGCATTTGTTTTGCATGCTTCAGACATAAGTTAACACATTCTGCAATGTTTGATGTCATGAGTTGATATCGCCTTGCCGGCAACTGTGCACATGCCCATCTCTAAGGAGAGGGAAGCTAGATCGGAGAGGAGATGAAGCAAAACAAGTGAAATTGGGGGAAAATTAGGCATAGGATTTAGATCAAAAGGGTATCATTTGGATAACATGCCAAGTCAGCTACCATGTTATCAGCTCACACGATTTTCTATTATATGTGATACATACTCTATCCACTTGTCAACTTAGCTATTAATTATAAGGAATTGAAAATATTTGCCTATCGATTTTTATAATTGAAACATTTGACCCTTAATTGAAAAAGTGCCCAAACATTCAACCCCTATTTAGGCATTTAACCTTAAAATTAACTATTCAAACCTTACTCACACCAAATTAAAATTTAACTATTCATACTCTTATCTAAACTTAATTAAGAATCAACACTTAACACCTTAACTCAATTACCAATACTCATAAAAAATTTAAATTGAAACTCGATTATAAAATACTTTAATCTTACTTAATTGGATCAAATAATGCAAGATATCCTATTACAAAGATACTGATTAGATCAACTCTTATTTTATCTGCTATCCCTACCTTCTCAACGTGATTGCAGATGTCTATATAGTTTCTCACTGAGAATTTATTATATTCTACCTAAAAATATAATCGTATAGATGTTGGCTACAAGATGCTTTAATCTATTTAACATCAGAAGTTTATATAAGAAACTACAAGGTTTTTGTACCACAGAAAAAATTACATTTTTCACTCAAGCTATAGTTTGGGCTAGTAGTACTTTATACCTTTCCGGTTATTATATCTCAAACTAACTAGAAAAATAAAGAAAATCAATAAAAATGTATTAAAATACTTGATTTATAATAAAATAATATGTATGTATTTTTATTAAAAAATCGATTGGGTTTGAATTTTTATCTAATAAAAAAATCAACAAAAATGTCAAGGTAATGAACATACACATGAGAGAAGTAGGGGAGACATGGAAAAATATGAAACAAAGCTTAGCCATCTTTTAACAATGTTTTCATCATAATTTGTCTTTTAACTACTCTTTTGAAAGATGCATATTTCCCTTTTGGCTTTGTTTATAGGGTGAAAGGTTCATAAAATGTTTTTTTTTTGGTGAAATACATTACACTCACATTGCACATTCATCAGTAAAATTGTATGAGATTTTTTCTGGGAAACAAATATGAGTTTTTTTAATGCTTTGAGTGAAGAGTTTCTTGTTTTTGTAATTTTTAAAACACTCTTAGTTAATTATTGGTGTCACATTTGGAGGAATAGCTAAGCTTATTTATAATCCTCTAAAATCAACTAATAAGTCTCATCAAGAAAATCTTGATAATATTTTATCAGATGATGTTAATATCTAGTCATTTTGATAATTCCAATTCATCAACATAAAAGGATAAGATATTATCTTAAAAAATATAATCTAGACAAGATGACCATTGTGGGTGTTATCCCAAAAAACCCAATATCTCTCAATCGTGAAACCATCCTACTACTATGTTATATCATCCCATTGCCAAATTCATACAACTTAATGGACTATACGACCGTTCGGTACATTTGAGTCTTTAGAACACTATATTAGGAACTTTGTACTAGACACTCATGAAACTCAACATAGAGATATCATTCCTTTTAAAAGATATAGAGTATCTTGTGTGTCTAAATTTATTTGATCACATTAGATTATCTCAAAATCCCTCATTTAGAGAATGTCACGGTCCTAGCGAAAAGCTATTAATCCCACATCAGGGAGAACGTCATGGTCTTAAAAGGGAGCCATGAATCTCACATAAGTTATGTTTTAGAGTCGGACTAGGCATTTAAGAGTCCACATCATCTTCAATCTGTGATATGCCTTCTATGGGGATTAAATCATGAAGTTAGTATATCAAAGTGGACAATATCTTGCATGTTGGTATGAACTGTAATAATTGGTATCAAAGCAAGTTTTATGATATTAGTGATGTGCTATTGAGAACAATGAACCCTTGTTGTTGGAATAGGGAGGATGTCCCAATCCTAGCAAGAGCCATAAATCCCACATTGGGGAAGATGTCATAATCCCAAAAAAGCAATCAATCCAACATTAAGGAGGATGTCATGGTCTAAAAAGAATCCATGAATTCTACATTGACTGTGTACTAAAGTGAGACTGAGAGTTTTTGTGGAGACAAAACCATGAGATAGTAGGTCAAAGTGAACAATACTTTGCAAGTTGGTAGGGATCACGACAATATACTTCAACTTATTGCACATTACAACTTTATTCACATTTATAATACATCTTAAAGTGACATAATGGGTTAATCTTGAATATAGTGCATTGATGTCATATCAAATAATCTTCCTTGCACCCTCCCGCATTTAGTTTAGAAAAGATCATTTTCTCAATAATGATCTATCTAAGAATGTATGTTAAACTTCAAAATATTGTATAAATCTTAGTCTAGTCGCCCTTTGAAAGCATCTAACTTGAGTTCCTCACTTGCTCGTCATTCTAGGTGCCAAATTAGGCTTCACATCTAGCTTTCTCTACAAGCTTCATGGATTGTGGGCTAGTCCATTATCAATCCCTTGATTATTATTTATTATATGAACTTCATCTTGGTTCCAACCAATGAGACATTCGACCTTTGTCCACTATCTAAAAGCATCAATAATTTTTGTCTCATATTTGCTCGCTTCATAAACGCTAAAGGCAGTTGCTTGTGTAAGTGAGACAATCTCGAAGTTGTTGGCATACCTTTTATATCTTGTGTAATAATTAGTATATAAGCATAATACATCTATAATAGAATAAACACATAATATCTAAAAAAGCTTTTAAACTATTTTAAAAAAATCAAATAAGTTTTTATTTTTTATTACGTTCAATCAAATATTTGTAGTTTTATTTTGAATTAAATAAAATTTTATGTTTTTATTTTGAGTCAAGTAAATCTTTATAATTAATAGTTGACTTATTCAAAATGTCACTTATAATTTTATATCAAATGATACTTACGTGACATGCTGACATGTCAAAATGGACGATGACATGGCATGTTGATATATCATAATTAATAATATTGTGACATGTTGGTATGGCATGCACACATGATCATGTTACATTATTACCCTCCACGTAATTGCCATGTTAATGTTACATAGGTATAAAATGATAAATAATATTTTAATAAATAAAAATTAATCTATTATTAATTATAAAAATTTATTTGACTCAAAATAAAAATATCATGACTTAATTTCACGTAATAGAAAAATAATGACTTATTTATATTTTTTTGGATAGTTCAAGTGCTTTTTTTTAGGATTATGCCTAGAATAAAATTTGCATAAATGTTATTAATATTCCAAAGATTAAATACAAATGATCATATAAAATAATCACCATTTATGAAATATTAAAAACTTAACGTATGGGCATCTTTTAAAATAAGTTTAGTCAAAAGATACACAACAATATGATTAGTGGAAATATGTGTTAAGTTCACTTGTTTTTACGCAATTAAATATCTAATGAAACTATTCCACATGTGAATGTGTTTGGTTCTACATGAATCAGTCACCAGATTTAAGGTATAACTAGTTATATTAAGATTTTGAAAGATCAACCAAACAACTTCTTGTGCACCGCTAAACAAGTTATAAATTCTACTTCTATAGTAAACAAGGCAGTGCAAGATTGGTTCTTATTGCTACATGAAATAGCACCACTATTGAGCAAGAGTCAACAACAATTACCATCACGATAGCTAATTATGTTTAAATTTAAACAGTAATAGCATAATTTTTTTTTTAAAAAAAGTACGACAATAGAGTAACTAATTAGCTCATCTATTATTGAATAATTTCTCTGGTCACTTGTTCCCTAGTATTTACTTTCGAAGACTAATGTAAAGTAACTCCAAAATCTTGACTTTTTACAATATAAAGAAGCCTAACAATGAATGGAGAGTGGTTTTTTTTTTTTCTAACAATAATTTTCAAAACATTCTTAATAAATTGTTGGTTTAACATTTGATGGAATACTCAAAACTATTTATAACCCTTTAAATATCAACGGATAACTCTTATCAAGATAATTATAATAATATTTCATTAGATAATGTTAATATCTTTTGATAATTTTAGTGTAACAAGATAAAAGAGTAAAGCCATTGCCGTAAATAATTGTCTAATTTAAATAGAGTGATTATTGTGCGTGTTATTTCAAAAAAAATCGACAATATATATTCATATTTAAAATAAATCTTTTTATTTAATTTAAAAAAGTTTATATGCTAGCATTTTCAATAATTATTGGAACGTCAACCCAATCAAAGAAACATTGAAAAGAAAAAGTAGAGGAAGACATACATCATGTACTTTAAAGGAAAATTATCAAATTCCAAATAAGTATGCCATGTTGGTGCCTAATATTTTAAGATTGCAATAGAAAAGAATGAAAACGAAAAGGAAAGAACAGATAAGTATTCATTAAATAAAGAGGTTAATAATATTATCAATTATATAAAAGCCACAAAAAAAACCTAAGACTCCCTGTCTTTGACTTGCTAATATAAAAGGAGGTCCCGAATAGAAAGGGGAAAACCCAAACGAAGCCACCCTTCCGCTCCACCACCACCACCACTCCTCTCACCACGCCACCCTCCACTTTTTTTTTTTTTGTAAAAAAAAAAAAGATTTCCGTACAATTTGTTTTGGAAAACTAATTACTGCTAATTTTTATCTTTGGAAATTTCTTTTATTACTAGTATATATATATTTTTATTTTCTTCTCTATAAATATATAAAATAAACACTTTCCTTTTCACTTCCTCTGTAAAACCCTAATTATCATTCGATCTCTTTCTTTCCCTCTTTCTTTCCTTCTTTCTCCCAGAAATCTCAGCTTTTCTTTTTCTCTTCTTTTAATATTTCGATCATTTCTTTACGAAACCCTAAATCTTGTTACAAGATCTGTTGGTAGCTTTACATTTCTTTTTCCTTGGAGATTATAATTGACAGGTTTCCTAGGGTTCGTTTAATTGGAAAAGAGAGGGTGATTTCGGGTCAAGGCTGGCGGGTTTTCGGGTGAAGTAAATGGCGGATCCGCCTGGACTCCGCCCCTATAAGATTGCTTATCTTTTGGAAGACATTTCTTGTTTTGCTGCTGCTGTTTCTAGGTCTAGTGTGGGATTGGATTCGATAGGGTTGCAAAGCGGTGAACGTTGCGAACTGTGACAGACAAAGGAAGCCGGAGAAGTTAAAGCATGCTGAGCGTGCTACGGGTGCACCTCCCTTCTGATATACCAATTGTTGGCTGCGAGCTCACGCCTTACGTGCTCTTACGCAGACCCGACAAGAGCGTTACCACCGATGATGTGCCCGAGTCGGCCCCTCTTGATGGTCATTTCTTGAGGTACAAGTGGTAAGTGTTTTTTAATCCAAAGAAAGCGTCATTTTTTAGCTATTTTATTGATTCTTGGAGGGTTTTGGTCATTTGGGTAGTTCTCATTTTAGCCAATTGGGGTTTTAGCTTAGCTTATTTGGTTCTTTTTAGTAAATATGTGAATCTTTTAACGGATGGTAAGTGTTTGAATTAAAATGAAAGGTTCTTCTTTTGCTTTATTATTGATTTTTTTGTTTTCTTTTGTTTTGGTTAGTTGTCAATTTGGCCAATTGATTTTGAGCTAGTTTTATGGGTGGGATATTGTTTTCTTGCTTTTAGTAAACAAGCGAACTTCTTTTGTGGGTGGGTGGTAAGTAATTGCTTGGAGAAAACTTCGCAGCTTTTTTTGCTGATATATTGATTTTCGGGGGCTTTGGTCTTTTTTGGTAGTTCTCAGTTTAGCCAGTTGGGGTTTGAGCTAGTTTTATGTGGTTTGATATTATTTGATTTTTTTTTTTAGTACATGCAGTATATGTAAACTTTTCTGTCGGGCGGTTATAAGTAATTCCACAGGGGGATATGTGGAATTGAGGTTTATGAGTTGAGCCCTTCTGTCTGTGCATTTGGAGATAGTGTGATTGCTTTTGACTTGATTGTGATCTGCTTTTTGTTACTCTTATGTACTGGATTTATCTTGTATGTAGAGTGATGTAGTTTTGTAATTTTTGAAGGCCTAAGAAGTAGTTTGTTGAATTCGGTTATGACTTTGAGTTTTGTGCCATTTTGTTTGGTTTTTACTTGAATTTAGTTCACACTGCTTTTTAACAGCAAAAAGTAAAGTAATAGCAATCGAACTCTTTGTCATTATCTGCTTTCTTTGCTTAAATTGGAATTAGACGTCTTAGATACAACATGTTGTGATGACTAGGCTCTATGAGCTAGAATGGTCTGTCACTTATTATTGTTAGGGGTGTTTTCATTATCGTGACCATCCTGGCACCACTATATCTGTGAAGCTTCTAAGAACGTTCCAATTTAGATTGAGAAGTACTCCACTTAATTCTTGGTCATAGAAAGAAAAGATCATTCCGCTAAAAGAGCGGATGCGTAATAATTACCCAATGGTATCTGTTGCAAAAGTACTGATGAGGCATTTAATATGTTACTGACACTGTTAAACTTCGCTATTTGAAGTAAAGCATGGGTGGACCAAGTAAGTATAGTTGCATTCTGAAAATTATTAAAGACCCTTTAAAAGGTATTAGAAAGATATAGTAGTTGCTCTATGTTCCATCAAATGATCCCAGAACTTTACCCTTAGGTTTTGACATTAGTTACGTGTAGCAATATAAAAAGATGATTCATAAATGTCGATTTGAATTGATCGATTATTCAGTTCTTGGATGGTATTTAGATCTTTTTTTTGTAAGACAAAATTTTTAACTACTATGGGATACTATATCTGTTAATGATGGACACATGCTTTGAGTGCGTTATAGTTTCTCTAAACTTTGAGATGAGGATATTATGCATTCTTATTGTAATTGCTGGACTTTTACATTAGAAGGAGGTTATTTTGACTGTATCTTGTGCGCCAATTGTTCTGTTTTGAAAACGTTTCATTAGATTGTGTTGTCTGCTTTTGAAATTAAGTGGCATTTTTATAATAAGTTGATTGCTTAAAATTTTCCGTTTGTACTACCTGTCTGATACATGTTGCTCCTTTCTTGGGTCTGTTTTGCAGGTATCGCATACAAAGTGATAGAAAAGTTGCTGTCTGTAGTGTACATCCCTCCGAGCAAGCCACGTTGCAGTGCCTGGGTTGTGTTAAGGCTAAAATACCTGTTGCTAAAAGTTATCATTGCTCTCCTAAATGCTTCTCAGATGCATGGCAGCATCACCGTGTTCTACATGACCGTGCTGCAAGTGCTGTAAACGAAAATGGAAATGAGGAGGAAGAGATATTTGGCCGTTTCAATAGCTCAGGCTCTGGGGTTATTAATGCCAGCTTAACTGGTTCGGCATCAAGCACTAGCTTGACCAATGGTTCAACACCTCTATATCCTGCTGCAGTTACACAGAGAAGTGGTGGTGAAACCTGGTTTGAAGTTGGACGCTCTAAAACATATACACCAACAGCAGATGATATTGGCCATGTTCTCAAGTTTGAGTGTGTTGTTGTAGATGTGGAAACTAAACTACCTGTGGGACATCCCAATACTATTTTGACTTCTCGTGTTATTCCAGCACCTTCCCCTAGTCCTCGGCGCTTGATCCCAGTGAGCGGAGCTGATATGATGGGGCATCTAGATTCAGATGGCCGTATTTCCTCCTCTGGAACGTTTACTGTTCTCTCATACAACATTTTGTCTGACTCATATGCCAGTAGTGAGTTATACAGTTATTGCCCTTCATGGGCTCTTTCTTGGCCATATCGCAGACAGAACTTGTTGCGGGAAATCGTTGGTTATCGTGCAGACATTGTCTGTCTTCAAGAGGTAATAATTTCAATTATCATTGATTGTAGCTATTATGATATTTGATTTTTCAACTTTGGAGTTTCTGTTTGGAAAATTCTATTGAGAACTTTCATATTGAACTGAGACACAGCTTTGACATTTAGTGCATGACTAAAATTGCTTGTATATCTAATGTTTACTATTATACCTTGGGTGGAGATATCTGATCTTTTGCACGTTCATAAGTCTTAATTTAGATCTGGGTTTTTGCTTAGTTTTATTCCCTTTGTTTTTCCTTTCAGATGCAAAGTATATATATGCCTAAAAGATTTTTTTTTTGAAAAGTGCCTAAAGGAGTTTATTTGCCACCACAATTTGTTGATTTAAGAGTGAAGATACTGTATGTGCAATGCTAATAAGTAAATTATTTTACCCTTCTTCCATTTTTGTTAATAAAGCATGTAGATTTTAGAAAACAAAGAGTTGAAATGACGAGCAATGATTTTGGGTATTGGTAGAATAATGTCATCATTAACCATAAATCGTCTTCTGCCTTAGGGCATCTAGTGAAAATTGAAAATGCCTCAATATCAACTGTTCTCATCTTTTCAGGTGCAAAGCGACCATTTTGAAGAATTTTTTGCCCCTGAGCTGGACAAACATGGGTATCAAGCTTTATACAAGAGGAAGACTAATGAGGTTGCTTCAGAACTCCATGATTCTCATCTCACTGGTTTAGTGATATTACTGTTTTATTTATAATTATGTTGTTGGTCAATGCAGGTTTATAGTGGAAATACCCATACAATTGATGGCTGTGCAACATTTTTCCGTAGAGATAGATTTTCCCATGTCAAAAAATATGAGGTTTGGAAGTATTTCTAATGGGGTATGTTGATTTATACATTTTTTTCATTCTAAAGTAAATCATGCCGTTTTTGCAGGTTGAATTTAATAAGGCTGCTCAATCTTTGACTGAGGTTGCAGTTCAAACTACTCAGAAGAAAGCTGCTTTAAATCGATTGGTTAAGGTAATATATATTCACAGCTAATTTGGATCTATATCCATTCTTTTATGTTACTAATTTCTCCAATGCTATCATGTAAATTCTTTGTTGTCTGCAGGATAATGTTGCTCTAATAGTGGTTTTGGAAGCAAAGTTTAGTAATCAGGGAGCTGACAATCCTGGGAAGCGGCAGCTTCTTTGTGTGGTAAGGCTTGTTAATGTTTTTCTTCTATGCTATATCTCTATTGCCTTCTCTAATTTGCATGATTTTGCTTTCATGGTATATTTATGATCAAGACATGACATCATATATTGCTAGTGTATGATACTAACGTATCAGTGGTGATTGTTATTCTGTTATTAGCTTTGTTGATCTGGGTAGTGGCAATTGGCTTGCCCTGAAATCAAATAGGATGTTTGAGACTACTTTTAGCCATATAGTCTTGAATTCAACTAATGGGTTAAGTTACCTCGATTTTGTCTTGTTTAATCTGAGAAGAATTACAATATAGCAAGTTTAGCACCATCTTTTAGACATGCTATAGAGAAGTAATTTTTCTTTGTCTGCCTAGGTTTGACTGAAGTAACCTATGGTTTGGTTTCATAAAACTGAAAGTGCCTAATCTTTTGCTATCAAGTTCTGTCAGTTGGTGGGGTAGGCAGGTTGGTTTGTCTAGGCCAATGTTGGTGTAAACGATTCTGTGGGCTGTAGGGGGCAGGCTGCTTGTGATGCAGAAATGTAATGTACTCTAAAGGTTTATAAGTGTACCTATATTTGAATAATAGAATTTTGATCTTTTACTGAACTGATATAATTTGGTCAGCGGGAAAGTTTGCTTGTGAATAATTATCACATTCTTGCAATTAGACATGTCAGAATCCCATAAACTTTGCCATGTTTCATTATGACTAATTAAGTCCCAAATTGGATTAGATCGTTTTGATTATTATGTGCTTTCTCTCTCTCTCTCTCTCTCTCTCTTGCTTGTATGTGCTTTTTGGATTCCCCATCTACTTACTCCTTTACCCCTTCTTTCCATTTTTTATTTTTTAAAACATAGCATGGACATGATGAACTTACTCATCCCATCTGAAAGTGAGGCTATTCTTTGCAATTACACCCATGATAGTAT